AACCTCTCACCTCACATAAGAGTGGTCTGCCCCAAAACAAGTCTTCAGTGCTGTCAATACAGAAGCACATCTGGATACTCACTCCTGCTGTCCAGAAGTGGTTAAAAGAACATCAGCAAAGCAGTCAATGACAATGTGAAAAGCCAGAAGAAACATCAGGTTTACAAAGGGACAGAAACTTATTTATACCCAGTTCCCTCATGTCTAGCTCTAGCTCTGGAGAATCACTTCCCCAAAGCAGCATAATATGCTTCATTTAATATATAATAAACTCTAATCAACCTGGTCCACCATACTATTATTGCCTAAGAAGGTTACCATTTTTCTCCCTCACTAAAGTCACCAACAAAAAAACAACTTAAAACACCACCCTCCCACACTCCCCCATCCATCATATTATGATCTCAAAAGCAATAAAGGTCCATCTTGGATTGATGAAGTTCAAACCAAACAGTCCACTAACCCTGGTTTGAAGGGTCTGAGAGACCACATTTACCCATCAGTCCCACTCAGAGCCAGGATTGCTTCCTTTCTTTCTAACAATTAGCTTGGATAGAATAACTGCTGTGTCCTTTTGAGGGCAGAGACACGATAACATGCTCTTTTCTATTGGCTGCTGTAGCTCTTGCAGTCCATCCCAGTCGGTGCTGGTCAAGTGTATGGTTGCGAAAACCCCTGGACTGGAGGCATCATCCTTGTTGCTTTGCTTATCTCCTCTCCACTTATATGTTTACATGCTGCAATTGGATCAACAGTGGGGATGTTTGCAGGTAAGAAATATTTACCACAGTAACTTTTTAACTAGGGTATCTCGATGCTAGCCATTACATGACTCTGTTCAGACTTTAGAGTGGCGCAGGCTTCGATGTCCTTGGGACAACACTCCCATTTTTGAAACTGTCTCTAAATTTGGAAGGTCTTACTGAAGGTCACACAACATGGTGAAGGCAAGAACAGAAGCAGATTTTCTTTCAGCTTTGAATTTGTTATGAGATTTGTAAAACAGGCAGGTGGTTTGTTCCACCTTGCTTAACCCTCCTGCCATTGGATGTGATGAATCCCATGGAGATGATGATAGACACCTGGAGGAATAGTTTCAGAACTGATCTCTTGCCACCACAAGCGTTTTAAATTACCAGCATATGCAGATGTCTACCTCAGAGCTGATCCGTCAATGAAAAGAGACTTTTCTGGGATGCAGTTGATTCTATCCTGCTGCAGATTTGTAAAAATAGCTAAACGAACACCACTCAAAATGGCCTGTCTCTCCACTAACCAGAGAAGCAATCTTAAATTAAGAGAGATTAATCTGACCCTTGAAGTTAGACAAGATTAATGCCACTTATGCAACCAACAGTAATAAAAAAATATGATTGAACAAGCGTAGTCTGAGACAACAACCTTGGAAAAGGCACAGTCATCCAACAATAAGTTCTCTGTGCTCTGAAGCACTCTGTACAAGACATGAGCTGCCTTATATTTGTGTTTTTAAACAAAACTATCCATTATTTGTATGGTTAAGAACATTTGGCAAGGTTTGTACAGGTCTGATATTTAATCTAGAAGAGAAAGGTCAGGGGAAAGTATCTGGGGATAAACGTAGCGATAAAACAGAAGACAAATGAGGACATTATACCAGGAAATGTATTAATCTTAAGAGTGACGTGACGGTGGCCCGTGCATTGCATACTGTGCTCTTCTTTTTACTGGTGCTCCTGAAACCTCTGAGAAATCCTGCAGAAGTTCCTATGAGGTCAGCTTTGGGGCAGACCCTTGGCTCCCAACAGAAACAATGGAGTGACCACATGTAGTATCTAGACCACGTCTAGCAAAGGTCACTAGGAAGAGACAGAAAACCCTGCTTACTCCCACAAACGGCACTCAGTTGTGCCTCTGGTATTCAAGATCAGGATACTCATGAGGTTTAAACAGTACGTGTGAGCACAGGTTTCAGCAAGAAGGATGCCAAGGTGAGAAGGATCCCGCTACACTCTGGCTGGATCTCCATCTGTACCTCTGGGGGACTAACTGCAACACCCTCGGTGTATACATAGGAAGTTTTGCCTGAAAGAAACCTTTGAGACTGGGCCAAATTCCAACCCTAGGGACATTATCAGAGCTCCAAAATAATGAGCTTCATGCGATTTCATCCTTTTTCTTCTCGTGCATCTTATGCAAGTGTGAGCATGGGCAAATTTGTCTAGATGTCATAGGGAAGAGATGACAGATTCCCAGCAAGTGATGGGTCCTCCTGCAGATATCTCTCATACCTAACCACACAGCCTTGCCTTTTGTCTTGCAGCACTGAGCATTGCATCACCATTTGACAGCATCTACCTTGGCTTACACAATTACAACTGCGCACTTGCGTGCATTGCAACCGGGGGCATGTTCTATGCCCTGACCTGGCAGACTCATTTGCTGTCACTTGCCTGTGGTATGTATCTTTTACGTAAAGGGAAGAGAAAAAATGATGCAGCCAGGAAGACCACAGGTAGTACAGGTTTCAAATCAAATACGACTCTGCTGCAAAACTGGGTCCTATGCAAGAGCCATTTCTGTGATGGCATCAGAGTTGAGCTTGGATGCACAAGCTGCAAGTGCAGAGAGAAGGGCCTACAAACATCTAGAAAGGGTGGAAGTACTGTTTGTGAAAGGAGCACAAGCTGTGCCATGAGCAGAAGTTTAACAAATTAGCAACCCAACAGATTTCATAGAAGTGGCCTTTTCACAACTATATGTATCATTAGAGGAAGTGTGTCATAGGAAGAGAGCTGTTGCACAAGGTCCGTTTAAAACCCAAAGGCCCCATCTCCAACAGCAGCCAAAACCAGACTCTATGTGAAGAGCTTAAGAACAGTGTAACACATATAAAATACCCATGAAGATTCACCCAGCCTCCAACCATTTGAATTTCAGTAGTTTCCTGTCCTGAGCACAGTTTTGGGATTGCTCCACAGCTTTCCCTTCCTTAACCTTGTCCTTGAGTGCCTTATCTCCTGCTTTGCCACCTCTGACGTCCTGGGGCCAGGAGGCCCACTGCTAACTGCTTGTGGTTTGAAGCCACAGGAGAGACAGTGGTGGAGAATTTCTGTAATCCCCCACTGCACACAGGTCAAGTTGTGCCAATTGATAAAAGAAATACCACCAGCAGCTGTTCTTCATTTACCATCCATCTCGACAGAGCAGATAGGACCCAATGTAGTCCATACAGCCAGACGCAGCATTGGGGCATTTTACCTTATTGTTGAATTCTAACATTAATCCTCACATCAGGTAGCTGGGAGGATATTTTACTGTGTATTTGGACAATATTACTATTTCTAATAGTTTCTTTGGGGAGATAAAAAATATTTGCCTCATCTTAAGCTGTCGTTGGTCTTCTTTTCTCAGCGTTATTTTGTGCGTACTCTGGAGCAGCTCTTGCTAATGCCCTATCTGTGGTAAGTTGGGGGGGGGAGGGGGAGTGGAATTTATAGGAGTTTTTTGTTTGTTTGTTTTAACTGTATTTTGATTGTTTACGATACAGTGTTAAGGAAATGCCTCAAAATTCTCTCTGTCAGTTTTGACCACATTGAAATGAGAATGCTGCAGCCAATGGTGGGTCCGGTACAGATTCTCTATCTGTTGAATTCTGCACTTGCAGACTCTGATAATAAGATTTCAAAGACCTTTGGAGCATGTCACCCACAGCAGGATTGTGCATGTATATGTGAATCCCAGCAACGGCAAGCGGTTTGAGATGCAGTACTCAGAGACAATATCTTTGAACAATTTCCAATGGTCTAAATTTTTCCTTGCTTCTTCCAAGATCTTTCTCTCACCCTACCCACAGATATTATTTAAGTTTTATCTGGATATGAGAATTAAAATCAGGGGGGAGACTGTTCTCTTAAAAACAAAATTGTCATATCTGGACAGACCAAGAAAGACGTGAATCGAGAAACGCCAAGCTTTGCTTCTTCTTTAAGATCTGAGAGATTAAAGCAAAACCATATTTTAATAAAATTGATTTAGTAACTTAAAAGAAAAAAGAATTTAGAACTAGCAGCTTCATACACTAAATGTATTCATCTGGCATCCACTTGGTACTGTGTAGGTCCCTGCAGATGGGTTGCTTTGTTAAGCACACCTGGTTTTGGGATGCCTCAGAAAAAAAAGAACATTTACTTTTTCTCCTTATGATCTTGTTTTTGGCACACCCTAAGTCAGGTCAAGAGGTACGGTCACAGAACAGGACGGAGGGTTGGATTCGATGCCAGAAACACATGGGTATTGAGGACAGTTAATATGGCTGAATTGTTCTCTCAGTACATGACATTTCACAGGACTGTGAGGGTAGGATTCAGCTCATTTATTAGAGAATTTAAATGTCTACATGTGAGCTGGGTGTCTTGGCTTTCATTACAGCCAGCAGAGCTCTGGAGCCTGATTCAGTTGCTTCAATATTGGTACCAAATGCCATTCTGGCCAACAGCTGCATCTCTAATAGGACTAAGGTTTCCAATGTGGGATGCCTTACATAGCCCCGTACATTTCAGACAAACTAGCTACCTCTTTGTGAGCAACTGTATTGACATTTAGTAGCAGAGGAGCTTCCCCGACCTCTGGTGACCAGCAGGAACCTAGCTCACATGTAGCCCCCATGTATGCTCCTGCACCTGGGCATCTTCCTCTGGATCCAAATGGGGGATGCTGTATGGGGGTGGTTGAGGAATCACAGAATAGTTTGGGTTGGAAAGGACCTTTAAAGGTCAGCTAGTCCAACCCCCCTGCCGTAAGCAGGGATATCTTCAACTAGATCAGGTTGCTCAGAGTCCCGTCCAACCTGACCTGGAATGTTTCCGGAGATGGGGCATCTACCACTTCTCTTGGAAGACACGTCCTGTGTCACACTGTCCTCAGGGACAGCACAGGCTCTCCCAACTTCTCAAATGCAAGAATTTAGCAACCAGCAGAAGTAAGCCAAGGGAACATGCAAAAAGAGGTACCAAAAGGCACCTGTCTGTCTGTCCTTTCCCCTTCCAGCTTGGGCTGCCGCTCTGCACCTGGCCTTTTTGCTTCTCCGCACTTCTCTTTTTGCTCGTAAATTCAGACAACCCAGCCATCTACAGAATCCCTCTCTGCAAAGTCACCTACCCAGAAGCCAACCGGATCGACTACCTGAGGATGAAGCGAAGGGCATCGGAGAACAGGAGAGAAGAGCAGAAACGAAAGGAGCAGAAACCCTCCGGTGACTCAAAAATAAGCACAGGAGGCACCCCCCTGTGCACCCCCAAAACCCGCCATGATTACTGATTTCAAATGTCCATGAGTGTATAGTTTTGGGGCGGTTTTTCATATGCTAGCCAAGCACATCATAGCCACAAACACCACCTTCGGCAGCAGTGAGCAGGCCGGGGATTCGGCTCCATGCTCTGGAGGAAACATGATTTGCCCTTGAGCTAAGCTTTCCGAAAAGCACTCAGGTAACACAATAATGACTGTCTTATTCATCCAAGTTAACATGCTGTTAACTTGAAAGTCACCTCTTATCAATAATAATTACAAGAATAGGCAGAAGAATATTAATGCTGACAAGAGGCTGCATTTAATTTCAGACATGTAATTTAACAAAATAAATATGCTGAGAAGGTATTGGTATCTAATAATAATAAATAATGTAAGACCTACGTCAAGAGCTGCACTTCAAATTAAGAACACGTATATCTGAAAGCAGAATAAACAGACTGATCTCTTCCTTGCTTGTGTCCCATCACTGTCTAACCCTCTTAATCCCTCTTAACAGCTACAATACACACAGGTAAATATTCTTACAGAGTGCATACTATTTTTGATGCCAGCTCCTGACTCCTCGTTAAGTGCCAAGACAATGAAGGTATGAGTATATATGCTTTATCAGACTAGAAAAGTGACTAGCTAGCAACGACCAAACATTTTCCTTTTCCTTGCATCATCTTCTATCTTAATAGAAGATCTCTCTCCTGTTGAAGGCAGGATGGCAGCTCTGAATTCCTACACACATCCAGCGGGAAATAGGAAAGCTTCACGTACAGAATGAGAAAAATATTTACTGCTGATGGCAGTAACTGTAGTTCTTTCTCTGCTCTTCCTATGGGAACAGTTCTCTTGCACTAAGCCACCAGCAATGAACAAGTCACAGGCTCCCCTTGATGTTTGTTGGGTGTCAGACTAGGGTCTTCTCGTAAGTCTTCAGTATCTGACCTGCCCCAGAGAAACCTCACGAGGCATCATCAGAGTTAATCACATGAAACTGAGGACCCTCCTGCCAATATTCTCCCCACAGGCTGGTTTCTAACAGGCTTAAGGTGCAAGGAGGACATGGCCACTTTATGCTTCTGCCAAGTCTTTACCAAAGGGAACAGAAAATTACCCTAAAAAGGTCTTTTCTTGGGAACCTTTCCCAAAACCTCAGTAAAACAAGCCTGACAGAAAGGCTTCCTTGTTCTAAAGTCATGTCACATGGTCAGTTTAAAATCATGGATCCAAAGGACTCGAAGATTTAAAATGCAAAGAAATTATGCAACCACAAACATTCAGATCAGATGCTGTCCTTAATGTGGGGCTGTGGCACAGATTCATTTGACGGTCTTTGAGCAGATGGGACCCCAGCTCTCACCCAGTACACGGACCTTTTTAAAAAAGGGTGAGCCTGGGTGCTGCTCACAGGACTCTTCGTGCCGTTGTGAGCAAAAGACCAGCAGCACCAGCAACTGCCAGTTCCTCTAAACCTTCCCTAGAAGGAGCATCCAGGATTGACATCAGCCTGGAAGACAAAAATATGGTGCCACGTAAGCATCTTGAGGGGCTTTTTAAAAAGGTTAGGCCATTCCAGAGACTTTAGTAGGTCATACTTCCTCCCTCAGCTGGGTGATGACAGATTTGAGATTCCACCTGGCAGAACCAGCTTACACATGCAGGTAAGTCCAAATTTCAGTAGCCAAGACAACCCCGTCATTGAAAATTTAGGGATCTAGTGAGCTTTGTAGCCATTATAACCTGGTCCACCCTCAGACCTGAGCACCTGTGTCACACCTGTGTCCCATTTTAGACCTCTGGCAAACCTCTGAACCTGACCTTACTCCAGGAAAGCACTGAGGGAACGAGCTGGTGTTCCCACATGCCACAAGTCTTCTTGGAGATTAATGAAAGACCAAGAATCCCATCAGTCTGCCTGATCTGTTAGCCATGACACTTTTGTTAGCCCAGGGCAAACTAAGAGGGATGGGAGTGAGCACAGCCCGATACCTGACCTATTTCTAATAGAGGGAAGAAGATTTGACAGATGTACCACTGCAGCAAGCAGAAAAACAGATGCACTATGGTGGTCAAAATCTCCCATGGAAGTCCCAGCAGCCCCCTGGAGACACTGAGCTCTGACAAGCAGCAGGAGCCCAGAGGCACAGGTCTATTTCTGTAATACAAGAGATGAGAACCACTGATTTAGGAGCAACAGATTGTTTGCAAAAAGCAACCCGTGGCCCAGTCAGTGGATGAAGGCAGTCAAGCCCTAAAGCTATCACAGAGGACTGCTCCAAAGGGACGTACGGTCTCAGCCAGAGCTAAAGGGTGTTTTTCGGCTGCATGTGCAACTGCTTATTCCTGCATGGTGACTCCAGAAAAAGCAAAGTAACCATCAGAATCATAGAATAGAATCATAGAATCGTTTTTGGTTGGAGGAGACCTTTAAGACCATCAAGTCCAACTGCTAACCTTGCACTGCCAAGTTACCACTCAACCATGTCCCTCAGCACCACATCTACAGAAAAGGTGTCAGCAGGCAGGGAAGAAAGTGTAGAGCCCTTTGGGCCATGATGCCAGAAAACCAGTGCTAGTAAAAAAGCAGTCTCGTATGGTCCCTACGGACTGCAAGATCAGGGACATCCCAATGTTCCTGCTCTAGAGAAACAGAGAAAGGCAGAATAACACATGAGGTGATACATAGCTGCCTGAACACCTTCCCTCTGTAGTAGTCAATGAAATACAAAGCACACACAAACTAGCAGGACTCATTCATCTGCTCTGCACAGTTTAATTTAGCTCATACACAATCCAGCATCAGAGAAAGATGCAAACAGAAGCAACACAAAATTACAAAAATACTATAATAGAGTCAGCTAAAATAATGCCAGGACCATATTTTTTAAGAAAAACCTCAACTCTGGTTAGTTATGCCAAGCATATTATTTGTTTTTCTTATAAATAAGAGTGAAGTCCAAGCACAACATGGCTATTGGAAAGAATTTGTCATATAAGAGCCACTGAAGACATTAATTCCTCAGCCACAAGCAAATCCAGCCTGAAATCAATTAGTAAAGCAATTTTTAGAGTTGAAGCCATCCATAAAAAATAGGGTATAAACAGCTTTATTAAGTCTCTAGCTAATCAAAAGATTTGAGTAACTATAGCCAGTACTAATAATTCTTGAAAACAGCCAAGACAAATCAAGTGTCTGCTGGAAGGAAGCAGTAGGCAGTAAAAGCACTAACTGAAGTTACCAATGGTAGCCCCGACAGCCTGCTGTCTATCAAGTTCTATAGAAAATCATCATTAAGAGAAAGAAAATATACAGTTTTCAATTGGACTAATAATTTTTAGACAGTTCCCAGAGATCTAGCATAAAACAAATGTGCCCATAAAAAAAAAAAAAAACACAGAAAAGTCTAAAAACTAAAGCCTCTTCTATAGCCAGAGCAGTCACTCCGCCCAGCTCAAATGAAATAAATATTCCTGTACAAATCAAAACCTGGCCTAGCACTTGCATATATAAAAACAACCTCCTCAAAATGTTCCTTCAAAATCTGAAGAGCAGTGGTAAATGGGAGCAGACTAAGCAACACGAAGGAATTGCAAGAAACCTCCCCAGTAAACAGAGAAGACCATCTAGGACAATAGAGTCCAATGTAAAAACTACATACAGCATGTGTGTCTAAGAAAAATGCTTACTTTATTGCTCCAGGTGTCATTTTTCGTACTCTTCTATTTGCTCCTTACCCCCTGAAAAACAAACAAACAAAGAACCAAAATACCAACAAAAACAAACAAACAAAAAAACCCCCCTAACTTTGCTTTTTGATAGGATGTTCCCAGCCCTTCTCACATAGACATAGGTGCTTCTGTCCGTAAGACTGGTCACAGAACCTCTTACAGAAAAAGCTGAGGCAAGTGCTTTAGATGTCCTGGCTCAGGTATTGATGACTCCAGAATGACTTACCTGTTAATTACTCTTCATGAACAATTAACAAAGCTGCACTGAGGGAACGTGGAGGGGAAGGATTTGTCTTCTCAGTGGACATCAGTGGTAGCAAAGGTCAGAGCCATGCTGCTGTCCACACCACAGCATCCTAGTTGTTGGAGCATGACATTTACCACCTGATTCCTTCATCTGATGACCGTTTTGGAGACCCCCTCACATACTACTGGGGTCCAGAGTAGACAGATGCAGCAGTACAGAGGGAGATTAGTACAGGAGACGGTGCATTCTCTCAGCCCAGGGAGGACACCTAAAGCTGTAGGGCTGGAAAACCCACAACCATGCTCTCAAAGAGCCATGGGGTGAAGCGGCTGCAGTGCTGTATGGGGAGCAAGAGCCAGCAAAGCGCAATGAGTTAAAGTCTGCTGCCACCCAGCAGGTTTCCTTGTTGGCCTCCACTCTTAATCAAGCTGCCAGAGCTGCTCTGCAGCAGAGCCCCGGGGCCCTTCCCTTCTGGCTCTGTTCTGCTGAGAGCTTAAAATAAATATTGTTGTTTTTTCAGCCCTTCTGCAATGTCAACACCTCTTCTTCCCATACCTGCAACTACAGATCGGTACAAACAGGAAGGTAAAATTGTGAGACACAGGGAGAGCAGGTTGGATCCCCCCCAGACCCCAGGCAACCAGCACCCTGACAGCCACCAGCAAATATTGGGGAGGGCTTTCTGCTCCAGAGGGGTACTCCAGCAATGCAGGGCCTCACCACAAGCTGAAAAACCCAAAACTTTACAACATGTAAAGCCAGGTTGGATAGGGCTTTAAAACAACCCACTCTAGTGGAAGATGTCCCTGCCCATGGCAGGAGGGTTGGAACTAGATGATCTTTAAGGTCCCTTCCAACTCTAGCCATCCTATGTTTCTATGACTCTATGTCCAAATAAAATAAGCCCTTAAAATCTCCAGCTGCTGGGAAGTTGCTCTGTTTTGTCCATGCCAGATATCTCCAGTCTGCAACGATAGACCCATTCCCCAGCACTGCAGACTGACTCGGTTTTTTGTAGATCGCATTTGCCAGGGTTACAGAAATACCACCACTCTGAGGGTAGGAACTGTTTACCAAACACTCTCCCCTCGATTCCCCTTCAACAGATGGGTGTGTTTTAATTTGGAAGATGGAAGGAGTTCAAACAGGAAACAAACCCTTGATTGCAGTTGATTTTACAGTTCTCACAGGGTCTTTTACAAACTCCTGCAGCTGTTGCCACAGCTGGAATTCATGCATCCCCGTGGCAGGATGAAAAGTCCAGGGATAACTGTGGGAAGAACTGTGGTTCTTCCACCACACTTCCCTGGGAATGAGTTTGGGAACCTCCGACTACAGCTCAGCAGCTCCTGAGCGCACTCAATGCACCTCTGTGCATTCAGCAGCTTCAGCTGTCGTGGAGCTGCATCCTCACATCCTTCTCCAGGTACAGCTCTTTGCATAGAGAGTTGAGGCAGACCCGAATTCGTGCTCCCAAAACATGCAGCTTCATTCAGCACAGCAGAGGTGGAGCACCAAGAACACGTGGACCCATTCCAAAAACATCCAACTACCTCACCTACATAAAACTGCGGAGGGGTACAGGCTGCGTAGCGCATCTCAGCAGCTGCTAATCAAATTGTGCCGGGCACAGAACTGCGAAAGGCAAAGACAGAGACATCCCTGACCCGTGCAACTAGGATGACCTGCAACCTTTTTCCCTTCACTCCAGGGCACGCCAGCCTGCACCTGACCCCTCTTCTCCGCATCTCCCTCCTCTCAACTGAGTGCTGACAGCTCTGTTGCTCCATCACCCACAAATCTCCGCTCTGCAAAACCACTCAGCCAGAAACCAGAAACTCCTGGCTGTGGAAACAACCAGAAAGGCAAAGATGATGACAAACTATCAGGCATCAATGGTTTCTTACTGTAGTTGAGTGAGCGTATTTCATTTGTGTAAATTAAATCCTCTTTAGGGCATTTTCCATTCCCAAAAATTGAGTTATCCAGCAGACATGACTTTTTTTTTTTTTCCCCCTTTCATCTTCTACAAAATGTTCATCTTTGCTGCAAATGGATTTATGTCTGCTTGTGTGTGTGCATAAAAATGCTGCTCTGTAGTACTGCTTACAAAAACCCATAAGCGTCTACAGCCAGTGTAACTCTACCTCTATCCATTGCACTGATTATTAATTTTCAGTTGTTCTTGCTGTCTGGTGGTTCATTTCTGGGTGCAGTCAGTCCTCTTGCCCTTGTGGATCAGAGCTGCAACCCATGCGATGTACAGCACCTTCCACTTCTATTAAGAACTACTCGGTAAGAGAATAGTAATCACTGGGATTTATATGCTGAAAGAGTTTCTCATTGGAACTATTATAAGTATTCTGCTTTTTGCTGAGGCCCAACACTTTCATCTCCTACAACACATAGGTTTGTGAGAATGGATTTTTTCCTTGAAAGCAGGCATGCCCTGGGTGAGACGCACACCCCCACCATCAGGGCAAAGGAAGGGGAAAGGGCGTGAAACGCTGCCAAGCTGAGATTAGATGCAGGGGAGTTAAGTGAGCTGACTCTGAAATCGCAAAAGTGGATGAAGCAGCAGAAAAACACCTTGCCTACTGTCATAAAAATGAGGCAAGTTTGGCCAGCTTTGTCATTCTTATGGGGATCCTGATGTCTTGAGGTAGGTCTGGAAAATGAATCTCTTTAGATTTGGGCTTTTACCTGGAGCCAGAACAGGAGAGGGGTTTGAAGTTGAAATTTAGAATTGTTTGAATTGCAGGTTCCTCTCCAGTCCTGAAATAGAGGAATACAGTTAACCTCAGGCTTCCAAAACCCTGTAGCATTTCAGGATGTTTCAATACAGCTGATCCAGTCTACAATGCTGCAGATGACCAGAAAAACAAGCAGCCTTGAGGTTCAGACTCATGGCATGAAGCGGAGAGCTTTGTGCACCACTAACTCCTGAGAAACAAACAGGATCACGCCAAGAGCCAGACTGGTACTCCCTCCTCCAGGACAGATGAACACAACAGGGAGAGAGGAGATGCTCTGAAGGTGTCTGAAGCTGAAGACAACCATACAAGAGGCCAGTGTCTTCCAGCAAAAGTGCACATTACCTTGGGAGCCAGTTGGTCACAGTAAGTAGTTGGAGCTAGGATCATGATGGTGTGAAGAATGATTTCCAGTAGAGGTCCCATAGGTGCTTGCGACTCAATCTCATTTCCACAAGCATTCAGGCCAGCCAAGAGAAATGGCCAGTGTTGATAAGTGCTAGTGCAGCCTGGAAAAAGGGCAGGGAACACAAATCCAAACAAGGGGACCCAACCAGATGAATGCACCTGGCTTTTCTTGGGCCTGGTTTTCAGAGAATCACAGAATGGTCAGGGTTGGAAGGGACCTCTGCAGATCATTTAGTCCAACCCTGCCACCAGAGCAGGGTCACCTACAGCAGTTGCACAGGATGGCGTCCAGGCGGGTTTGGAATGGCTCCAGAGTGGGAGACTCTCCCACCTCTCTGGGCAGCCTGTGCCACTGCTCTGCCACCCTCACAGGAGAGAAGGGCCCCCCCAGGGTGAGATGGG